TGGTAAGGCGAATGTATTTTTCAATTCACATGCAGAGTATTTTAATTTAGTTATTACAATTTTAAATATTATTAATTTAGAATGTGATTTTATTAATAATGAATGCAAGTATAACAATAAAGGTACGGTTTTTTAAACAGGCAGTCTTTTAATAATATACGAATAAAAGAAATAAATAGACGAATTTTTTGAGAGGTTGATCTTAAACGTTAACATTTGTTTTTATAAACTTATTAACAAATATGCCGTGTTATGGAAATACTATCGTAAAAATTAATCAAGTTCGACAATCCATAAGAGACAATATTAGTTCTATTATCGTATGGGCTATTGGCACTTATCCTGTCGAACAGGAAGATAATGATATCGAATTAGTTATGTTTGTACCTATCGATTCGGATGAAAGGGATCCTGATAGTCAGGCAATATTCGAAAAAAATAAATATTATATTATCGGTGGAAAGGTTGTACCTGAACATTACCGTGGTGCTAAAAGGTTAAAGGTATTAATATAATTTTTTTATAAAAAGAAAGGTATGCAATAATTATATACTTATATTTATTTACTTAGATGACGGTCGCAACTTCAACACATGTTAATATTAATAAGGAACTTAATTCGAATAATTGTCCATTAAAAGTATCTCTCGTTGGTGTCGCTCAAAATGAACCTCAGGAAGTTAGCAATGACGAAAATGCCATCATCAAGACTTTAGTCAACGATTATACCACTCAGGAGTATAATTTTGTAGTTAATATTACTTATCAACACTCTAATTCGCGATTTAAACATTTTAAAAATTCTATTCGGCCAAAAGAATCTATGATATTTATCGTTGGTGAAATGGAAATTATCCAAGACGAATTATACGTTTACGCAAGAGACATCAATTATGTTGGTATGCATTTATCAACCAAAAGGCAACTATCTGAGTCCAGTAATTCACAGTTATCAGTAGCATCACCTAAGTTGGTTCGTTCTAAGCTTTTGGCTACGCATCGTAATATTACTGGGGAACCAGAAAAAATTTCTGAAACCGCTAGTTTAACAAAACCGGTTGGTTCTGATGAAATTAATTTAAATCAATCAGATGCATCAGCATCTAATCCTGGGTCATCGAAACGTATCAAAACAAAAAAGGTGGCCGAACTTGCTAGAGATTTATTAGGAATCGATGATTTGGAGCTGGCAAAGTTCAATTATACTAGAGATGAGTTGCAAGTAAATCAAGATGCATCTGATAATTGTAATAAAGAATCAGATAAGTCTGACGAAGAGGAAAAAGCTAATAAGGCATTGACAGAGAATAATGAAGGTAGTAGTTCTGGTTTTGCAAGGGGAGTTCGTAATCGTGGAAGGGGAAGTAAAAATAGAGGACGCAGTACACGTAGAGTAAGAAAATCGCGTAGTACAAAACCTGTCACACATATCGTAAGTGATGACGATCACGATGAAGAATAAATATGTCGTATCCAGTTATTTTAATATTCATGTCGAGTTATGCATATTCAAATATAATATGCTTCATTCTTTTTTGCATTTATTATTTTTTGTATCGTCGTTGTTATGAAATATTGTCCTTTTTTTTGGTTTACACATCAAGCCTTTTTCTTATTATTACGAAATTGTTAATTCATTTAACTTTTTTTTACTTATTGATATGAAATTGTCAATTTATTCAGCTTTTGTTTGTCTTTTTATAATAAAGGTTTTAGCTTGGTTCGGTTAATCAATTGCAATAATCGTGATTTTGTTGTGCTTAAAGTTAAAACTCACTTGAAACTGCAATTTCATGCGCTAAAAATTGAATCTTCCCGCGTATTAGTTATTTAATTTTAATTAAGCAGGTGTAATTCAAGTTAGACGCTAACTTCAAACAGTAATATATATGCCATAAATTTTAATTGATTTACGCATGGTTACACTGATACATACTATACATGATCATCAATTCGACAAGCTTCAAAGCTTGTATTGCTGGCCAATAATGGGGATCGGCTAAAGCGGAGTTAATTTAGAGTTAATTCAATATATGATCTACATACTGCATAAATTACATTCTTGATTTTCTATATAGCCTACTAATCCTAACTACATCAAAAAAGTAACTTTAAAACTCGCGCCGCTTTAGCCGACCACCAATAATGGTAATTGATTTATTTATGCATAGTTACAAGTATGTATGCACATAGCCATTTATCCTTTGTTTTTCGTAAACTCTGTTTCGCTTAGCCTTTCGCCACGGTCTTTGATATCAGCGATTATCAATCCATCTGCCCGGCAAAAAATTCGACTCGAAAAAAATAAAAAACGTGAATATTTAAAAATTAAATGTATAAACTATGTCGAAGCAGTTTAAAAAAATGCTGGAAGCTTGAATAAATACTGTGTTAA